TACCCGGACACATTATTCTGACTCAGAGCCGACCAGTCTTTGCTCTTACTCCTTAATGCCGCATGCAAAATGGAGAAGCAGCAAATAAAGTCTTTGGTTTGACCCGGCAGGGGTTCAAACCCACGACCTCCTGCACTCGAGGCAAACACGACCACCGAGGCGGTTAAAGAAAGTAAAGATGATATGAATGAAGTAATATAAAACCATAAGTTGAAAAGGGCATCTCTATGTCCAACTACATAGAAAACCTGTGACTGGATTACTTTCCTTGTATAGCAGATACTAAGCCAACCATAAACTGTTGAGATTGAGATAGGAAGAATTTCTTTAGCTCAGTCAGTAAGAGCGCTGACTTGTAACACAGAGATCACAGGTTCAAGTCCTGGAGGAGACAATGTGATTTTTTAAGTAAGAATCATGCGTTCCGATAAAAAACCAAAGGCTGCAAAGTAGCAATAAAAGTAATCTACAGTCTGTTTCAACATGCAATATAAATGTTGTTTTTTGTTGTGGAAACATCCATTTTTGATGGTTCATTTGTTGTTGCAGTCAAATATATCACTTTACTTTACTGGTGGCATAGGTGGCGTAAATCTCTGTGATGAAACTCTGATTTCCATCTGTTACCAATTTTTAAACTGACTGTCATGAAACTGTATGCACCAACAAATAGACAAATAAGCACAATGAAGTATTTAGTAGTTTTTGTCTCGGTTTCTATGAATTTTGCAGAAAACTCACATAGGGATGCTTATCAAGAGGCAGTGGTGTTAGCTTTTTGCAAGAAGCTTCATATTCCAGAAGGTAGAAGACGTGGATACTTCATATCTTGTATACATGTATCTTATGTTACAAAATTATTGTCTGGCATATGTCTGTATGCAGTTTCTCTCTATCTTTTATTGTTTTCAATATATTCAAAAACACTAAAAGTTCATAAAAATCACTATTTAAGGTCAACAATTCAAATATTTCTATTTTATATAGTGTCTTGAGTCATTTGATCATGTTTCACAGTTTACAGCTTGGTGATAATGGGGGTGATCAACTCCTACACAGGAAGTTAATCCTCCAAGTCTTGAGGCTTCAGTTTATTTAGTTGGGGAGTATTTAATGTCCTACACAACAACTAAATGACTACAACTCAGAGCTTGACATAATGTATAGACACCTGTCTTCTATTAAAGACTGTATGTTGCCCTCCATAAGTTTTTATGCTGCCCTCTGTATGTCTTTATGTTGCCCTCTGTGTGTCTTTATGTTGCCCTCTGTATGTCTTTATCTTGCCCTCTTGTGTCTCTTTTGGTTATAATTGTCGTTGGTTGTTGTCTCATTGGCATATACCCCACATCTTTATTCATGTTCATGTTAAGGGTTTAATATATGGTTTACACTGACCTATAAATGTTTGTTTCTTCTTCTTCCCCTTTTTCACTTCTTCTTCTTTTAAATTTGAACTTGTCAGCACCCGTTCTCCAAAACCGCTTGTCAGATTAACTTAGGGTTTCACAATATGTTAGACTAGGTACTTTGAGGGGCAAAAAGAAAAGAGGGTTTTACTATAGAACCCTATGGGATTTTATTTTTTTAAATTTTCAAATGATTATAAATTGAAAACCGTTTGTGATAGACACAATCTTTTTAATTGAAAATGTTCTAAATGATAAAGCCCATTAAATGAAATACAGGGTTAGTCCCCAGGGGTCACCCCCACCCCCTGCCATTTAAGAAAGTTCTAATACCTTGTAAGTGGTCAAGATCCCCACCCCTAAACCATATATATTTTGGTTTGTTATGCTAAGATGGTTTGAATGATATACAGGGTTAGTCCCCAGGGGTCATCCCGACCCCCTGCCATTTGAGAAAGTTCTAATATCTTGTAAATGGTCGAGATCCCCACCCCTAAACCATATATATTCTGGTTTGTCATGATAAAGCACATTAAATGAAATACAGGGTTAGTCCCCAGGGGTCACCCCCACCCCCTGCCATTTAAGAAAGTTCTAATATCTTCTAAGTGGTCAAGATCCCCACCCCTAAACCATATATACTCTGGTTTGTCATGCGAAGATGGTTTGAATGATATACAGGGTTAGTCCCCAGGGGTCATCCTGACCCCCTGCCATTTGAGAAAGTTCTAATATCTTGTAAATGGTCAAGATCCCCACCCCTAAACCATATATATTCTGGTTTGTCATGATAAAGCACATCAAATGTAATACAGGGTTAGTCCCCAGTGGTCACCCCCACCCCCTGCCATTTAAGAAAGTTCTTATATCTTCTAAGTGGTCAAGATCCCCACCCCTAAACCATATATATTCTGGTTTGTCATGCTAAGATGGTTTGAATGGTATACAGGGTTAGTCCCCAGGGGTCATCCCGACCCCCTGCCATTTGAGAAAGTTCTAATATCTTGTAAATGGTCGAGATCCCCACCCCTAAACCATATATATTCTGGTTTGTCATGATAAAGCACATCAAATGAAATACAGGGTTAGTCCCCAGGGGTCACCCCCACCCCCTGCCATTTAAGAAAGTTCTAATATCTTCTAAGTGGTCAAGATCCCCACCCCTAAACCATATATACTCTGGTTTGTCATGCGAAGATGGTTTGAATGATATACAGGGTTAGTCCCCAGGGGTCATCCTGACCCCCTGCCATTTGAGAAAGTTCTAATATCTTGTAAATGGTCAAGATCCCCACCCCTAAACCATATATATTCTGGTTTGTCATGATAAAGCACATCAAATGTAATACAGGGTTAGTCCCCAGTGGTCACCCCCACCCCCTGCCATTTAAGAAAGTTCTTATATCTTCTAAGTGGTCAAGATCCCCACCCCTAAACCATATATATTCTGGTTTGTCATGCTAAGATGGTTTGAATGGTATACAGGGTTAGTCCCCAGGGGTCATCCCGACCCCCTGCCATTTGAGAAAGTTCTAATATCTTGTAAATGGTCGAGATCCTCACCCCTAAACCATATATATTCTGGTTTGTCATGATAAAGCACATCAAATGAAATACAGGGTTAGTCCCCAGGGGTCACCCCCACCCCCTGCCATTTAAGAAAGTTCTAATATCTTCTAAGTGGTCAAGATCCCCACCCCTAAACCATATATATTCTGGTTTGTCATGCTTAGATGGTTTGAATGATATACAGGGTTAGTCCCCAGGGGTCATCCCGACCCCATGCCATTTGAGAAAGTTCTAATATCTTGTAAATGGTCGAGATCCCCACACCTAAACCATATATATTCTGGTTTGTCATGATAAAGAACATCAAATGAAATACAGGGTTAGTTTCCAGGGGTCCCCCCCACCCCCTGCCATTTAAAAAAGTTCTAATATCTTGTAAGTGGTCAAGATCCCCACCCCTAAACCATATATATTCTGGTTTGTCATGCTAAGATGGTTTGAATGATAAACAGGGCAAGTCCCCAGGGGTCATCCCGACCCCCTGCCATTTGAGAAAGTTCTTATATCTTGTAAATGGTCGAGATCCCCACCCCTAACCCATATATATTCTGGTTTGTCATGATAAAGCACATCAAATGAAATACAGGGTTAGTCCCCAGGGGTCACCCCCGCCCCCTGCCATTTAAGAAAGTTCTAATATCTTCTAAGTGGTCAAGATCCCCACCCCTAAACCATATATATTCTGGTTTGTCATGCTAAGATGGTTTGAATGATATACAGGGTTAGTCCCCAGGGGTCATCCCGACCCCCTGCCATTTGAGAAAGTTCTAATATCTTGTAAATGGTTGAGATCCCCACCCCTTAACCATATATATTTCTATTTGTCATGTCTCGAACATTTGAATGATGTTTACGGTCAGTCCCCAGGGGTTCCCCCCACCCCCAATGTTCTAATATCTTGTAAATGGTTGAGATCCCCACCCCTAAACCATATATATTCCTGTTCGTCATGTAATGAACATTTGAATGACGTATAGGGCCAGTCCCCAGGGGTTCCTCCCTACCCCCAATGTTCAAGTATCTTGTAAATGGTCGAGATCCCCACCCCTAAACCATATATATTCTGGTTTGTCATGCCAAGATGATTTGAATGATATACAAGGTTAGTCCCCAGGCATCACTAATGCATATAACTTTACTGGACCAAACCATTTTTCACTGGACGTTGCCCAATGTCAGGCGACCCTGGGAATTACGAATTATGGGAGCTTCGTTTGGGAGACTTCGTAACAGCATCCTGTTACAATCATTTCTTGTTCAATTGGCAATTACTGTAAATTCAGAAGTTATTGCAATGTTTTTATTAATGTGAAAAATGCGAAAGTACTAGGTTCGCCATTATAAAAACTCACATACATAATTTCAAAAGTGATTTTCCTTCACAACATTTTTGCAATCGCATTTATTAGATCTCAAGCTATTACCAGTAATCTGTGATTCACAATAACAAATGCATGCATTAATTTCTGAATTTACAATATTTTTTGCAATTTCAGGATAATATGCTGTTTCTGGATTTCTGTCTCATTAACATATACTTCTATCCTTGTACTCATATTCTCTAACTGCAGTCTGATCGACTTGTACATTTGTACTTTTCAGCCTTTTGTTCGTCATATATTTACATACATTCATCTGCCATTTGCATGCATGCAGTGTTTCAAATTTGAATGTAGCAGGTTTACATCATAAATATTTTTACATTTTATAGAAAATAAAGAGCTGCTGAACCAACGCCTCCTATGTTTTGTACTGGTAGAGTTCCCTTAAGTGGATACCAGATGGTATGCAGGGTTGTCAGATAAAAAAATTAAATAACGCTAAATTGACAACAACACTTAAGAAAACTGCATCTTTTATTGGTCGACATGTTTCACCGATTAGACCTGAAGACGCCAATCTAATTGGTGAAACATGTCGACCAATAAAAGATGCAGTTTTCTTAAGAGTTGTTGTCAATTTAGCGGTATTTTATAGAAAAGAAGATTTGTTTTATCTACTGGGATCAAGTAATACAATAAATGAGTGAAAAGTGTTTTAATATAAATTAATAACAATATTCCGAGTTTAGACTACCAGTAATAATTAATACCATTAATACATATAACAAATATCTCTTGATTACAATTAATAAATAGGCAAGTTACTTGACTCTTATCACAATCATAATTAATATCTTATTATATGCTGTACATAGTACAACAATTACAATAGAACAAATAAAGCTGTTTTAAAATGGCACATCTGTGTTGATATTGAATAGCAAAATAAATAAAGGACCTAGGTATTAAAAGCATATAATTATTAGAGAATTTCTTATTTTTAACATTATGAATACTTTTCTTGTGTATCATACTTATAAGACATGAATATAAAGCATTTGTAAAGACGATGGAACATGATTTAAATTGGATTATCTCCCTTTTACCAGAAAAATAACTTAAATGACCCGAGAACACAGTTATTTCATAGTGTATTTCTTTAAGAAAAAAAATTCAAATTAAAAAAATCGCAATTGCTCTATCTCATAAAGATTTTTACAATGTAGTGTACTACCTTTGGGACAAACTATATAAAAATTATAGAGTAGTCTATCAGCTCTAACTCAAAATATTGACAATTCTATGTTAAGGGGTCTATAATTCAGACATACCAATTTTTAACCTATTTCAACTGGACCAAATCACTACTTTATTTTAAAATATTTAAAAATTCATCATCCAAATTTTTTTTTTAACATGTAATTTCATCCCCTACTGAATATTTCATGCATAAAATATAAAGAAATAAATTTGGAAAAGTGTATGAACAAAATTTGCAAGATATACACTGTCCATAGTAAGAACTATATTTGTAGACAATCAAAGGCAGATAACTGTGTCCTCGGACAAAATGTTCCATTACTCATTTTTAGTACCAGTATGTCTGATAGGTCCAATATGAAAGTAAGGTATGATTAATGTAAAAAGTTTGTCTCTAATAGTTACACACTAATTAATGTTTGTCCTTGTATAAACATTTAACATGAGCATACTGAAAAAAGTGCTCTGGAACAGTTACATGACCAAAATCATGATTTAATATTTTTCTGCTCTAATACTTAGTTACATGTAATGCTGTACATTTGTATATCAATTTGAATCAAATTATGTTTACTTTTCTAGAAATGAAAGAAAGAAATTCAAGCAAAGTAAAATAACTTTTACGTTAGTTGTTTTTTGGTTAATAACGGTATTAAATTTCTAAATCTGTAAAGTTAACAACTTTAATAATCAATTAGAATTAAAAAAATTCTATTCACGTACATATCAGTCAAAGAAAAAATATCAACTGGACCTCCTGCACTTTTTTGTCATTAGCAAATTCAATATACAAAATTTCACTTAACCTTTTTGTTCAGTTTCAACAAATTCCATTATAAATCAAATTTAAACTGGTCTTATTGTCAACCACACAAGTTGTTGCAAATGGTAATCACCTCATATTTAGGCAAGTGCACTTTAGTGAAGAATACTTTGTGACAATTATATTAATTTGAAAATAACTTCAAAGTAAAATAGGTACATTTTTAAAAGAACAATCCTCTCTGGAGAATATAGAATCTCAGTCTCTGTTCCTACCAGAGTCAGAATCTCAGTCTCTGTTACTACCAGAGTCAGATACATAAATTGCTTCTCTAAGTTATAATTAGTTGGGTGTTGTTTACTTTACTGAAAAAGGTTTCCAAATTGGTTAAGAAAAAATTTTTTTTTTTTAAGTTTTCTTTTTTTTCAACTTGATAAAGAATTTGGGTAAAATATCATTATCATTGAACATGACAAGCTTTGCAAATTTCAGACCGAATGTTGAGTCAGACATAAGTCACTTTTAATCATGCATTAATATCTGTCACAACTTTATGCATTTCCTGTACTTCATTTTCTGATTGGTTGATCTTAGGAAGAAAACTATATGTAAAATGTTCAACAAAATGATCCAGCACCAAATAAATAATAAATTAATATAATATACATCTAAAATGAGGTAATTTATATAAAATAAAGGTAAAGGTTTGATCTCTAAAAAATCTTATTGATTAGTACCGGGAATTTTCAGCGATGAGTTTTACTACATGTGCATTTATTCTTAATTATACAAGAAATATGGTTATCATTCAAATTGAAAAAGGTACATTTTGGGGATATTTTGTCCATAATATTCATTAATATCAATGAGAAATTGTATATGATATTATTTATGATAAATTTTCTAATTTTCTGAGTAAATGCTCTAAAAAAAATGATAATATATATAAACTATGGCATGGTGACAGAATTTTACTAATTTCTGGAACATTCTGAAAAAACTAAAATGTGCAAAATAAGAGCCCCAAAATTTTGTTGTCATCAAGTATGTTATCACACAATACATTATTGGGCAGGGGCTGTGCTGTATACTATTTCCAAGCACATGTATGTGGAAGTAAAATGAACTGTGTTGTTTTGATAACTGTATTAACTGTCATTTCATGGCTACTTAACCTGTGACATTCAAATATTTTTGAAGAAAAATAGTTATGATTATTGAAGAACAAATATTCAAATAATGAATATATAAATTGCAGACATTTTGAAATATCTTTGGCCCCAAATTGTACCTTCTCCATATAATTCTTACATGATCTGTCTTCTTTGACAATGAACAATATCTATTAAATCATTACCGTAAACAGTTTTTTCATCATTTCACACAGTTATCAACATTTTAATGCCTACTGAAATATTGAAAGGGAGTGATTTTGATAAAGTTTCAAAAAGTGAAAGCAGTTACTGGTCATTTCTTTGTATCACATTACAGAAAGGGAGATAACTTTTCAGACATTTAGCTGATAATGTAACCTTATAACAAAGTTTTATTTACAAGACATAATAAAAGTTATTATACACTACCGTTACTCAATTCTGATTGCACAGATACATTTGTAACATTATGTTTCAGTTAATAATTAAACTGAGCACTTAATTCCCTGTTACAAAAATAGACATCAAATATATAGATTTCCTCCATAATAAATATCAAACAAATTTGACATGACACTACCTTGTTACTGACATATATCAACAGCTTTTTCAACAATTTCACTATTACTTGAATCTTCTCGAACAATGACTCTTGACCCTACAGGTGATGAAGATTTTAAACTATGTCTATATGCTAACTTGACATGTTTTCCAGAACCAATTTTTTGTAAAAGTTCTGGGCTGACATATTCTGATGGAAGTTCATATCCACTACATACATTTTGAGGCACCATTGACCTATTGGTTAATCTCTTATAACGAGGGGAAGCATAGCCATAAGGTACAGGATTTAATGTATTTATCAAGTCTTTAGTCGTATCATCAAATTTCTTTTTATGCTTAGGTGGTTTTTTAAATAATCTTTTCCTACGAATTTCAACTGTTTTTTCAGAATCTGAACACATCTGACTTTCATCTGGCAGTGTTTTTTTCAATGTTAAGTTCTCTACTTGTTGAACAACAGTGTCAACTTGAGCACTCTCTGTATACAAACAGTCTCGATTCTGAGGTGAATCTGTTTCATTAGCTTTTAGAATGTCACAAACAGCATTGGCATTCTGATTTAAATCAAGTGGCTTTTCACGTTCGAGTGTTCCTATTAAACTAATGTATGACTGGTCATTTAAAAGAGACCTTGTTGAATTGGGAGGTACTTCCCTGTCATCCTCACCAATGGTTTCCTGGGGTGATTCAGATTTGGAATTTTTTGCATATCTATTATGTATCAATTTTAGATTGACTTTGGCTTTTGCAGATGCTGAACGTTTCTTTTCATTCTTGTCTTTTTTCCGCATATTCTTTTCTGATTTCGATCTTTTGAACCTCTCTGTTTTTTTATCATTTCCTCTCTTACTGTCCTCCTTAGCACTTGTGGTTGAAATCAATTTTCGGAACCCTGTACCAAGAGCACTCTCAGATTTTATTGTTTTTATTTTATCAGCTTTGTTTTTACTGTCATCAGAGACAATGGAGTCTAATTTTTTTGTACTTGTAAAACCTGCTGGTTCACTTCTTGTGGTTAAGAGTATATCAGATGGCAATGGCTTTTTATTTTCAGAACATGAGTTTACAACATCTTTGACAGCATTTTGAACTACTGAACTATTCAAATTTATATTACTGTAATCTGATAATGTTAATTGTTTAATACCATCTTTGACACTATCAACATCATTTTGTGCTTGAGTACTTTTAACATCACTGTCACCATAAAGAGTTATTTCATTAGCGGTTGAATCATTTATCACATCAGTAGTTTTGCTTTCCTGTTCAGATACAGTTCGATCTAAAGAAGGTACTACGTTGTCAGTTAAATTGATCGCTGTTTCTATAGATTTTTCTTTTACAACAGAGTCAGAGGTATCATTAATATTCTTACTTGGAGATACTTTCTCCCTATCAAGTGAAGATATTTTCTCCAATAATTTAGGTCTACCTACTGGAACATTCTTATCCGTATTTTTGGTTGTCTTGTTAGATAATGGTGCCAACTTTTCTGGTGATACTTTCATTTTTTCACCAGTAGACAATGGTTTGGCTTGTGAAATTTTTCCATTGCCAAATTTACCATTTGGAGGACGTGTTGCCATTGCACTATTTCTTCCTGACAGATACTTGTCTAACCTAGCTGGAGCTGGTGATCTTGTATTAGGAACCCTTGTTGATAAATCCCTTTTTTGTCCATTATTATTTGTGCCATTTTTCTTAATATCATTTAGAAGACGATTAGGTCCATTTTTAATTGTTGCAGTTCCCATGTTGTTTTTCATTGATCCAGTACTTCTGACTCCTCGTCTTCTGAATGATTCACTCTTATATCGTTTATCATCATCAGAACTACTTTCAGATGATGAATCTGTCTCTGAATCAGAAGATTCGTCAGATGAACTCTCCATACGCCTCTGCCAAAAAGCATTTGTAATAGGTTCTGTTGTAGCTTTTTGTTTTGGTCTGTTAGCTGCTCTCTTAGCATATTCAGGAGAACACTGAAAATATTAGCAAAGTATAAGAAAAGTGTGATCAGAAATCATTAGCAAAAGCAATCACATTTGAAGCTTTTCCTTGTACCAGGTACATAGCAGCAAATTTTGTTAAAAATCAGAAATGCTTTTCACATAATTATATTTCCATGAAGATTGCCTTATTACTGTATTAACCAATTATGGACTACTAATATTGTGATTATATGGATGGATGCATGATTGTTTAATGCCCAGTTGCAATTTAAATGCATATTCAGGGCAAGAACATGTTAATGTGATATGAATGATCCCTACTTTGTTCTAAGCCAACATGCTGAGCCAGATTTTTAACATTCACAAGGTAACAGTCTACAGGAAGTCATATCATCCTACCCAGACAAGTTATTCTGAATCTGGGCTGACTGGTCTTTGCTCTTACACGTGTTAGTGGAGAAACAGCAAATACTAATTTTCACATCTTTGGTTTGACCCTGCCAGGGATTGTACCCACAACCTCCTGCACTCGAGACAAACACACATTCTATGTGATAAGAAGATCATAAACTAAGATGCAGTAGCTTAATAATAATCAGAAATGATACATTTTTCTTTAAAACAGATAAAACTTAATCAAAATTATATTCGATTGCCGGTCTTTAAGGCCTACAGTGATATTTGTCAGAGGATTAAGGAATATTGATTATCAGTGACTTGACAATTTTTCTACTTTCAGAGAAAGTATTGGAGCATTGACTTTGATCAATAAAATTACAATTAAAATTTCAATCCACATAAAGTTATATCATCATGGTTGATTATGCAGTGAGTTTAGTTGTTATTAGTTTTTATTGTACATATTTAGGAGTACAGTGCTGTATACATTTTACCCATATAATTCTATTTCTATAAATCATTCAGTTATTCAACCTGCATGTAAAATTAATGATAATTTCTAGTAAGGAGAAGGTATAATGAGCCATCATTTGGTCCCTGAAATTGTTATGATGTTAATGTTATTGATAAATGAACAGGTCAATATAATCTGGCCACTTAAGAGCAGAAAGGTCACTTGTAAATTCACAATGAGGTCATAAACATGTTGAAATTTACATGCTTGACCTAAAATGGCCATTTTACACATAGATTTTGGTCAAAATATATATGAGCAACAGTAAAAAAAGATATTTTACACACATTTTACATCTTTGTAAAATACATTTTGTAGCAAAATATCTTTTTGGGTAAAGCTGTTGCTAATATCTTAATATCAATGACAAGATCTCAAAATGAGTCTATTTTGACTGTTTTTGATGTTTTGCACTAAATGTAAGAATTTTGAAGCCCTAACGCTAATATGAAGACAAAATTCAAAAATAAAAATACTGATGTCGGACAGACCTTATAAACATCTAAAGGTTTTTATTGATTGATTTAAAATACTTTTTGATTTTCAAATTCAAGGGGCCAAAAAAGTGGTCTTATCATACTTTCTCCTTTAGTTCTATAATGATCAAATATTACTGCAAAATTTTGACAATTATATACTCAAACTTACAATAAGAAGTGACCCTTCATTCTGTATAATTAGTTGTTCAATTTCAGACTTCCATCCTGTAATCCCAGCAAACTTCTGTACACTACCAATTAAATCACCTAAAATTCAACAAAACAATCTCATGACTATGCCCTCAATCTTCTGACACCATTTCTTACAGCTTTAATTTCTTGAAAATATATTGATTTATTTATAAAAAAAGATGAATAACATATTGATAAAATCCTTGTTTAAGTTGCAGCACTTTTTGTTTGATAATTTGTATAATTCAGAATCAACAAATTACTTGTTGACAACCCTGTCAGACTTATAAATAAAATATCATGTAGTTTGATATGTAATTCAAACTTCCCAATTTCTGATTTTGATTATGCTGTACAGATTTAGGTGTTTTAAAATTAAAATTCATAGGTCTCAATTTAAACATCAATATCTTGAAAAGGAGTAGGTGGATTAGGGCCATTTGGCCTCAATAACAAAATCATGTGATTTTTGCAAATAAAATAATTGATAAATATGTTAGAAGTTTTAAACTGCAAGGTCTTTCAAATATTATAAACATTCACAGACATTTAACAGTCAAAAGTAAGCATATATCTGCATAAAATGAGGAAAATGCATAATTTTGACACATTGTGGGGTATGGGATATATCAAGTATCCAAATACCAAAAACATATTTACATGAAAGTTATTGCTCATAAAGACAAAAAAAATTAAACTATTTAGTTTATTCTTGCATTCACTGTATACTAGCATGTCCAAAAACCATTTGAAAATTGACCAAAATCTATGCATTTTCATCAAAAGTTGTCTAATGTCCTAACTATATTATTTGGGACATGTTAAATCCTTAACTTAAACTATTTTTTTTTTATTTTTATGTTTGTTCTCCTATAATATACACATAAGCATAATCTTAAAAACAAGTTCAAGTTCATTGAAAAATATACTATGTTCTTCAAAATTTTACCTGATGCTACAACATCCTGAGACCGTTTTCCATTTTTGAATGGACCAACAGCATTCCAGTTAAATAACACACGTGGTACACCATACTTCACAGTATCTATAATACCTGCAAATGGCTGCACCTAAAATTATATCAACAGATTCCATACTTCATATACAAATGTTATTGTTATTTCAATTCTAGTTTATGTGATAACTCAAATGTGTTTTTATATTTTTTACAAGAAAGGTACAAATAGTGGCCTTGACTGTTGGACCTACTATTATCTAAGGTTGATGTCAATGCAAAGTAGAAATGGCTATAATCTGTATTTTTTTCCAGGTGATTCTTTTGAAAGAAGTTCTAAGATGTTTATTTTAGAAATGGTATGGACTAATTAATACTTTCTGGAAATTTTTAGTTTTTTATACTTTCTGTAAATATGGTGGAATGAAATTATTAATTTAGGTGGATGCAATGTTATGAATGTACAGTTGCATCTCATTTTGTCAAATGCAAAGGAATAAATTAATACACATACTATATTTGTACTTTTTTTCTAGAATTTGGTAGTCTCGATGAATTGGGATGTATTTTTTTCTCTGGTGGTTCAATTTCAACTTGTTACGTTCTGTCCTTTTTTCATTTTTGTAACATGTTTTTAAGTAATAACTTACCTCTAATGAGGTTCCCATAACAATGACTAGATCTGTTTGTATCATGTCTCTGAGGTACAAATAAAATCTCTGTGGTAAGTCTTCTCCAAAAAATACAATATCAGGTTTTACAATACCCTGCAATTAAATTCAAATTCTGATTATGATCCAAAATATTGATCCATTTAGTGAGTATAATATAATTGCTCTGCTTCATTGAAGAGCTAATCTAAAAATACCTACAATTTAAATGTAATTTTTTTAGATGTACTAGATTTCACTATTTTAGCAGTACAATGTACCTATAAAAGTGATTGATTGATTGATTTACAGTTGTTTGTTTAATGTTAAGTGGCAAATATTTCAGTTAAGTTAAATCTAGTTAAAAATAAATGGAGAATGTGTCCATGGGACACAGATGATGCCCCCGCTTGCATATAACATTATAAAAGGGCATAACTTGAGAACGGTAAAAGTGACGCCATCCAAATTCGAACTTGATCTGTGTTTTGTGGTAATTAGCATTGTGAATAAATTTCATAACATTTGGTTGAGGCAAACTAAAGTTAGAAAACTGAAACCAATTTTGGGACGTACGGACGGACAAGGGTAACACTTAATGCCCCTTCCAGTGACCGCAGGGGAATAAAAATCACCAATGTACATTTACATATAAATGTATTATGCATGTAAAAATCTTTCAGTTAAATCTAGTTAAAAAAACACCAATGAACATTTGCATGTAAACGCATTATGCATGTAAATCCTATGAGTATGAATGAAAGCAATTGTGGAAAAGGGTCAACAGAAAACACCTAACAATGGAAGGCATCTGGAGGGTCACATACAGTCTTCAACAATAGACAGGTGTCTTAACTATCAGTCTAGCTCTAAATCAACTGAAGTGAATTCATTTAACAAAGATTACCAAAAGATCTGCCATCAACACTGAATTCTTTAAAAGGACAAATAACACTAGGAAACAACCAAGACATCCACATAGATTATTGATATTAAACAGGCACTATTTGTTCTACTTACAGGACAGCCTCTTTTGCCACATTTTGGTAATCTGTCTTTGAAAATGCTTTCCTAAAAAATAAATAAATTCTATTTATAGTATACACTAATATATCTGATTCTTCATTTATTTTAATCAGTTAATACAATTATCAAGCAGTTACTTCACATGAAATAGCAAAGATCATTTTTTCTCAAATTTTCATGCTTTTTCACATTTCTCGATCAGTGTGATAAAAATATTTCTCATCTCTAGAGAAAATTTTGTTCTCGGCAAATGATTGGTTGAAATTCAATTATGGAGTCAAATTTTCTTGATTTCTTCTGAATTTTCTATTGTGACGCCAGGAAAAAAGGCGACCATGCCTAATGACGTCACATATAAAGAACACAACTTTCAGCAAATCTCAGAAAAGGAGGGATAAACTTTTATTAGATATCTTCTAAAAATCATTAGAGAAACAGATTCCACCACTATATCTCGTGTATTACGATATTTCTCCACTCTCAACAGTTAATTTTTAATTTATCTAAAATGCTAGGCAAGCCTCATGCTTTAAATATTAAAATTAAACTGTCTGGAGTGGAGAAATATCGTAACACACTTGATGCAGTGGTGGAATCTATATATTTCCTGAGTAAATGTATAATTATCATTGTCTTGAGTAATAAGTGTTCAAATGAGTATATTGTGGAGAATGGGATGTTTTCCTGTCATATCTAATCAATAATAAAACTATCAGTTGGTTCAGATGAAACACAGATTTTGTCTGAACAATTTACAAGAATCTATCTTCTACATGGTATTATAATTTCTCTATCTTAAGCAATTTAGATTCAATATTATTAAAGAATTTTATTAAGGTACATTGTGGTGTATTGTTGCTTTTTTATTTTTTTGAATATGGGCTCTGGTTTCTAAATTTTTTGAACAACAAAAATACTATGATAAAAAGATTTTTAATAATAATCTGGGAAATACATTTTGTACAAAACAAATGTCACATGAAACAGATTTATGCTATTTTGTGATTGTGGCTCATGGAAACCAATCATGTAGTTTTGTGGATGGCTTTCAAGCAAAGAGTGAATATAGTTTTAAGATTTACTAGACTGGTTTGATACAGATAGAATTCACTTCTATTTGCTTCAAGTCTAAGATTCCCTAAACTCCTAAATATGTAAAGGCTTAAGTGAAAATTTGACCAGTTTTGAGCAAAATAGTATGTATAAACAAACCTTGACTTCTGAACCTTCTTTCCTACTACCACATATTGTACATGTAGCCCAGGAAAATGTCCCATGAGCCTCTACTAACTTCTCTGGTGGTAATCCTGCCACTGCAAAAATATAATGAATATAAGAGTTTTCTTTGTTCATTTAGGGTAATGTATAAATGAATTGATCTTTGCCACAAGTTTTCTACAACCTAACAAATATGATACTATTTCAATCACAGTGAGATACAAGAGCAGCTATTTTTTTTCTACTGGTCAGGGATAATTCAGTCCAACTTTGGTTTAAATTCTACCATATCATTTCCCCCCAAAAAAATAAATGAACTTTAAACTGTTATAATAAAATATAGCATTGTCAGCAGTTCTTAACATTGTTATTCCTACTAAAACTAAATCATATATGTCTAAATTATTTTTCATGAGTAATTAGGACTTATTCCATTTAACAAAATGTGAGAGGATATGAAGGGAAGTTTTAATTTTGGATAAAGGTTGACAGACATTTATGCATGTTAATATTTTTATGTGTACAAAATTACTCCAAGAAAGTATGTTGGTTGTCAGAGGATTTTAATATCCCTTCCTACCCTCCCACATCCATTGTAAAGAAAAAGACTATAGTTTTTTTAATAATGTTTTGAGGTGGAAGAAATTTAGAAGTCCCTTATATATTTATTCACAACTAATTTTATCTTGTCCATAAAATTACATTATTATTGAATACTGTATGTTGACCTCTAGATGTTTTTTTTGGTTTTCTATGATAAGAAAAATAATAAAGATAATAATTTATTTTTATTTTATGTAATTATTATGTCACATATTTATTGCCATACATTTATTCATAAACTTTAAATTAAAAACAAACAGCCATTTGGCTCTTGAGATACATGGCAAAAAATAAATACATGTTTTAAAAATCCAAATTTTTTTAAACTGTATCTAAACTGCAGTTTGCAATAATTTTTAAATGTTTTTCATTGCACAGAAAGCAACTTTTTTTTTGCTGTAATCTCAATGACGTATACCCTACTTCTTTTATTCATATATAGAATATATCCTTTACACCTACATCTCTCTAAACCATCAATATTCTGTGTGTACATGCGGAGTAATTTGCCCTTGTCATACAGCATCCTCAGGAAGTAGTGTATGTAGTTTGGCCTGTACTTCCCTGATGGGTATAGTTCTTTTGCGAGGGTGAAGAATGGTTTCGGGTTATGGTGGAAATAATCTATGTCAAATATAGCCTCTGGGTATGGAATACGATACTGCTGGAGGTTGTCATACAATCCTGTCCCTGGTGTCCTATGCAAAGATAACATACACATTACTGTAATTTCTAAAATAATGTAGATAGATACTAAATATAATAGGGAAAAATAGACAAAGTTTGATGGCTCTGCCAGCTTTTCTTTTGTATTCGTAGCAAGTACAAATGAATTTGATATTTTCGGACAATGTACATAAATTGTTTTTATCCTGTAATTAACATTGATGCATACATTTATTCATTTTTTTCATTCTCAAATGTGATAGTGTGCTAGAAGTGAAAAACAATGGAAAACAACATTTTATGGTTTGACAACAAGATGATGTTATGCTTATTTTCAACGTTTTTTTGGTATTTTTTCACCTATTTTATGTCAATTCTAGCAACAACATATCATTTTTTTTTCCCACTGAGTTAGAGAAAGGAGTTTTTTTTTAGATAATTTTCATGTAATTTTGGATAGATCTTTTATCAAGATATATTTGTGTAAGTTGAACAGTTAAAATGATTTTTTTTTTTCAGAGTTCAACATGTAAAAGTCAAATGTAAAATTTTAACAAAGGACATTTAATTATCAAGTGAAAATTTACCTAAAATCAGGAATGCCACTAGGGGTACTAATTCCAGCCCCTGCCACAACAACCACATTTTTTACCACCTCACTCGTCAGTAATTCAGAGACATCATCTAGGGTTTTAACTGGCTTCATCCCTGCACTGGTGGATAGCCTTCTGAAAAATTAACATTATTTATTCAATATAAAGGTATCTGCATTCTTCAAAACAGGAAACTTTCTACCAATTTTTTTTTTAATTCTTTTATCTCTTTTAAGCATAAAAATTGTTTGTTATACTTATGATGTTTAAATACATGTATATAAAATGTTTTAGTATATTAGACTTATTTGCTGTATACTTACCATTATATTATTCGTTTGCAACTCAAATTTTTTTTTACAGGAATAGGAAATTATTACTGTATTCTGATTCAAAACAACAAGAATGTTTCCATAGGACAACTTGCCCACTGGCACTATAACATGTCTATGTTCATTGAACAGTGAAATTGGGGTTAAAGTGGTAATTTGGCAATAAATTTTAAAAACTCACTTAAAAATAACCATCTTTACTCATTTTCAATTTGATGAGACTACAACTTCATGGTCAACTAACTTTACTAAAAACTTTAACCTGTGAAAGTACTAATTTCACACTACCACATTTCTATATAAAAGTAAGATGTGGTATAATTGCCAATGAGACAACTCTCCACCAGAGACCAAATGAAGTAGAAGTTCCCAACTATTAGTCACCATACAGCCTTCAACAATGAGCACTACTCATAATAAGCTTTAAAAAGTTCCATTTGAAAAATGGACCTCATATAGACTAACAAATCTTAGCGTTGACCAATGAACCATGAAAATTAGGTCAAGGTCAAATGAACCCTGCAGGACAAAGATATACATCTTACAATCATTCCATACACAATATACAGTTGATCTATTGCTTATAGTATCTGAGAAATGGACCTTACCATGAAAACTTAATGTTTATCACTGATCAATGACATGAGGTTAAGGTTAGGTAAACTTAAAATGTCTGATGGACATGGATACCTTGCAACGATTCTATATACCAAAAAATCGATGTCATATTACTCCAAATAAGTGAGAAAATCATGTAAAATATACTATATTGAAATGTCTCGTCTGCTTTAATGACCATTGATATTATGTAGAAAGTCTTAAGGTTAAAGGTTTTACTACAAGTATCACATAAACTTAACATTTTTAAATATCAATGGCTATGAGGTCAAGGTCAAATAATCCTGTCAGACAGACATGTACACCTTACAATTATTATTCAATATACCAAATATAGTTGAGCTATTGCTTATGGTAATTGAAAAACAGACCAAAACACAAAAACTTAACATTGACCAATGAACCATGAAATTGAGGTCAAGGTCAGATTATACCAGCCAGACAGACATGTACACCTTACAATCATTCCATACAACAAATATAGTTGACCTACTGCTTATAGTATTTGAAAAACAGACCAAAACACAAAAACTTAACATTGACCAATGAACCATGAAATTGAGGTCAAGGTCAGATTATACCTGTCAGACAGATATGTACACCTTGCAATCATTCCATACACCAAATATAGTTGACCTACTGCTTATAGTATTTGAAAAACAGACCAAAACACAACAACTTAACATTGACCAATGAACCATGAAAATGAGGTCAAGACCAAATGAAACCTGTCAGACTGACATGTTCCCCTTGCAATCATTCCATACACAACATATAGTTGACCTACTGCTTATAGTATCTGAGAAAAGGACCTAATCATGTTACTTTAACCTTGATCACTGATCCATGAAATGAGGTTGAGATCAGGTTAACTCTGTCTGACGGACATGTAGATGTTGCAAGGAACCCATATACCAAATACAGTTATCCTATTACTCATAATAAGTGAGAAATTCACATGACAAAAAAACTTTAATTTTTTCAAGCAGTCGCTGAACCATGAAAATGAGGTCCAGGACAATGGACATATGACAGACTGAAACTTTGTGAAGCATCTAGGTCTAGTACCTTCTGAAATATAAAGCTTTATATAAATAGTTTACGCCGCTCCGCCAGATAGTAATACCTAAGTCTCGCATACTGCGAATTTCCTAGCAGGCGAGACAAAAATGAAAAGAACATTAGGAAAGGTGCACCACGGAAACTACAGAACATTAGGCATCTGTATAAAAGATATTTTCATACTAAAAGTTTAAGCTGCCGTTCATTAAGCATCCCTATGTCTTGCATTCTGGGACGAAATAATTCGTAAGGGTTCCGCGGAACACAGTGTCTCGCCTACTTTTTCTGTTAATCGCAGGCTCAACAAAAATGAGGAAGTTAATCAATAAAAATATTCCTCTTGATACTATCTTTTGATTGTAAGAACTTTCTGTCCAAGTTTGGTAAAAATCCAGGATAGTTTATGAATCTAATAAATGTTTAAAAACTTTATCTGCAGACTGAATGTAATGTTAACTTGAAGAAAACAAAATTTCCTTCTAGATACTAGCATTTGATCATAAACAAGCTTCTGTTAAAGTTTGGTGCAAATCCAAAATAGTATAAGAAAGTTATTAAAATTTAAAAAACTTTAACCACAGAGTGAATGTGTTGTTTCCTGACAGGAAATCTAAGTCCATTTAAAAGTAAAATACGGAAAAAATGGATTTATTATTTTACAAAATTTCCTTCTAGATACTAGCTTTTGATCATAAACAAGCTTCTGTCCAAGTTTGGTACAAATCCAAAATAGTATAAGAAAGTTATTAAAATTTTAAAAACTTTAACCACAGAGTGAATGTGTTGTTTCCTGGCAGAAAATCTAAGTCCATTTAAAAGTAAAATACGGAAAAAATGGATTTATTATTTTACAAAATTTCCTTCTGGATACTATCTTATGATCATAAACAAGCTTCTGTCCAAGTTTGGTAGAAACCCAGGATAGTTTAAGAAAGTTATTAAAATTTTAAAAACTTTAACCACAGAGTGAATGTAATATTTCCCAGCAGAAAAACTAAGTCCATTTATAAGTAAAATACGGAAAAAATGGAATTTTATTTTTACAAAATTTACTTCTGGATACTATCTTATGATCATAAACAAGCTTCTGTCCAAGTTTGGTAGAAATCCAAGGTAGTTTAAGAAAGTTATTAAAATTTCAAAAACTTTAACCACAGAGTGAATATTTGTGGACGCCGCCGCCGACGACGACGACGCCGACGACGACGCCGACGGAATGTAGGATCGCTATGTCTCGCTTTTTCGACTAAAGTCGAAGGCTCGACAAAAAGCAAAACAAAAACCTGATATTTTATCATTTTAAACTATTGTTTTTTTTCAAGTCAATAACAACAAATATTTTCCTTGTCAAAGGTCACCAATTCAATTGATGCCAGTTATATATCTATGAGAAAGCTACCCAACAACACAATAAAACCAGAAGAGATTTGAATGTAACTATATAATAAGAAACATCTGTCTAACAACAACCACTTTATCAGGTTCAACTACCTGTTTATTGTGGACAATTTTTTCACAGGTGTATTTAGTAAAGTCAATCTTGAAAACTGTATCCTTTCATAATTGAAACTATCTTGCAACATGTGCAAGAGAGAAAGAGTAATCAGTTTGAAATTAATTAAAACATTCAATCAAATTAATTTATTTCTGTACAAACCTTGCCCTATTAAGTCCTCGCTCCAGTACATTTGGTGGCTTTGGTAAGATAGAGGTTTCTGACTGTGTCTTGTAAACTGGAGTACTATTGGCATGTACACCTCTACTCTGAGCCTTCAAGCCTTTCAATGTCTGAGCTGAAGGTGGCCGTCCCAATGATGGGGCTACCACTGAAATAAAAAGAATCCAATGTTATGATAATATTAATCATTAAATTTTAACAAGTTTGTTAAAACCCAAAAGTGTAATTTGTTTCCTGGAGATAAGACAGTTCTTTGTTTGAGATATTTTTAAAAACACTTATATTCCCTTTTAAGCCTATGATAATTAAAATGCAGAACAATATAAACCATTAATATCTAAAACTTTAAATGAATTGTAATCTGTCTACCCTATAAATAGGTCATAAAATCTGGTTCCATTATCTTTTCTCTCCTTTTCCCTATTATTCTTTTTTCTCTGCCCCTTTTTATCCCTTTCCCTTTCTACTTCTTTACCCTGCCAACTCACTAGTATTTTCGATTTAAAAATATGATTACATTCATTTTGTTAACTTCAATTCAAAACAACCTATATGATATATTGTTAATATTTTCCTAGACCAGAAAATGCATTAAATATTTTGCCACTGGAATTTAAGCAAACAACAATCAATCAATTAAAGTAAAATTAATTCATGTTTTTGTTCCTCCGTAGCACGGAAAGGGTAAGGAAGGCAATAAAAATGTTAATATCTAAAATTTCAATCTTGAAAATCTGAAAATCATTTATAATTTGTTTTAATTATCATGGTATTTATTGATTTTTCATTCAGCTGAAATATTTAAACATGAAAACTGAATATGAATAAATATGAATGCAAATTTCATGTAAAATGCATTTATATAAGGTTTTATGGGACAAACATAACAAGAAAAAAAATACCAGGTAGAATTTAATATACCTGGATGAACCAAATCTACTGCATATTAGAATCTAACATATCATGTTGATATGATAAATCCTACATGAGGAGTTGTGTGGACATGGTACGTGCTGTACTTGTAGTTCAAGGGAGAATAAACAAAAAATTAGAGAGTGAGAGAGAGGTGGTGGAATTTATTGCAGTTTTCACATATAAAATAAAGGAAAATGATGTGTTATTTCATAAAAATTGTTGTTTCTTTTTTTTCATTTCGGAAGTAAGGTATGCCCACTTTTTCTCCTTTTGAATCATCCTTGTCAAGGGCAAAATATGCAATTTGAAATCATTATTCTGTATAACATAAAAAAAAAATAAAATATTTAAATGAATTGAAACATTTTTTTACCCATAGCAATGGTTACATACCATATTTTATTATCATCCAAGTCTGAATTTGAAAATGAAGTTGGTACAGACTTACTTCCTCTCCTAAACCTTGTTTGAATGGTGCCAAATATTCAAATAAACTATTTCTACTTTTAACTATTTTTCTTGTATAGCATAAACACCTTGCAACTCAAGGCAACCTATCACATGATTGAATTGATATACTTGTTGTTGAAATCAAACTTCATATTATGGTAATATATAGATATAGTATGTCTCGGCTTTTTAAATTTAAACCAAATACAAGAGTTTCATATTATAAATGTCGTTTAAATATGAACATGTATTTACCTTTTATTGGTGGGAACATATCATCCAATCTTAACAAAATATGGTAAAAAAAATCTAAGTCTTAAAGTACACAAAATATATTTATATCTTGATAGTAATGCTTCCCAAAGTGTGAACAACAAAAAATGCAACTTTTACACACAGTTGAAAGCTAAGGATACATTAGGTTTTCAATTAAAGTTTAATCAGATCCAGATATTGATTTCAGCCCATACCCACAGCAAAGCAATTGTTAACATAATAACAATAGAGATACATGAAATCATGCCATTAGCTACTGAAAATTTCCATTCAGACTTTTTCATATTTAATAAAGACAGAAGATCCAAACATTTTCTATTCCCCAGAGATGTTAGAAAATCCAATTATTACTGAATATTTGAATAGCAATGACTATGCAGAATGTTTCAACAAACAGACATGAATTGAGTGAATGCTTAAGTATTTCAGGGGCCTCGGTGGCAGAGTGGTTTAAGTAGTCGAAATACTGTATCACTAGCTTGTCAATACTGAGGTTGTGAGTTAGAATCCCACACATGGCAGGTGCGCTTGACTCCAATCTTAATTGACTAGGGTTGTCAGTTTTCCTACCGAAGGTCAGTGGTTCTGTCTGAGCACTCCAGCTTCCTCTACCATTAAAAACTGACCGCCACGAAATAGTGCTGAAAGTGGCGTTGAACAACAATCAATCAATCAATAAAGTATTTCATTGTTAGTTTTTATCATATATGATAAAATATGAGCAATAGTCTGAGATGATATGTCACTTTAAACAATGTATTAAATGAAGGTAAACTGTCTATTCCATAGCCCAAAGTTTGGGCTTCAGAAATTATATCCTTAGACATGTAAGGTATCCATGAAGAATTTTTTTGGTGGTTACAGAGAACTGGTCTTAAATTATCAAAATCCGGAAAATTTGTCCCCACTAGTCCAAATTTCAACTGGATATTGGATAAAATCTCTGCAAAAGGTCTTTTGAAAATCTGCATCAAAGGAATTTCACATGTATGTTTTATTGTTATAATGAATTCTTTCCATTATAAACATTCTTTCTTTTTGGAAAGAGCACCTTTGGACCTTATTTCCAACACCAAAATGAAAGCTTTGCATCTGCACCAATTTTTTAAAAATGCAGTATTTTTTCATTTGTGCCAAATTTCAAAAATGCATGTAATGCTGGCAAACCGAAGAGATTAATACAAGTAAATGATGATATATACTGAATAGGAAAAATATCTTAATATTATTTATAATATTTACCTGTTTTACTGGTGTAAATGAAAAATGGTTTGTGGCTGCCCCAAATGAATTGCCAATTGGCACAAGTGCAAAGTCCCCCACCAATATACCGTAGCTATTTTGAAGTAGACAAAATGAAGTGTACCAGAATACTTTACCTATCAAGTAAATATATACATGATATATAGGAAAATCAAAAACTTATCACATGAGATAAATCTTTGCCTTCAATATTGCCAAAGTAAAGTCCAAATTGTCAAAATCAAATTTCATGTACACCATACGTAATTTTGCTTTTAAAAAAATCAAATGCAAACATCGAAGTATATTAACAATTTAAAAAAAGAAATTACATATGATCTGGACCAACTTTATGTTAAAAATCAACATACAATAAACTGGAACTAAAAATGAACACTGTCCAGAAAAGATAGATAATCAAAATAGAAAAGATTAATATCTTATTTTTAAGAAAATTTAAACTGACTAACCTTATTAGATTTAAAAGTCTTTGGTCTTTATGTCATAAATCCAGATTACTATTATAAATCGTTTGACTTTTGAACATTGATCAAATAGTATCGATTTATAATGAAAGAATATGTAATATTGAATCTTGACTATTGAATTTCACTTAAATTACTTTGACTGATCAAGTGTACCTGATAGTAAAAGAAAAAACTCAAGGACATGTTTGCATTATATCACACAGTATACAGTGCATTCTATATAACCTTCTTTCCAATTTATGTATGACATGATTTAAATGTTATGGGTTTACACAATATACTTTTATACATATTCCGGGGTATGCATATTGCATCTGATGATCATAGTATCCTTTATGACATAATAAGATAGATTCTGTTCAAATCTTGACACATGAGTAGTGTCTGCCCTAAGACCTCATCATTGGTTGTCTTTAGTTATACTGGAGATTATATAATACATTATAATTGTATTATATGTCTCTGGTTATATTTTTTAAATGTTTGTTGTCCTTTAGGGAATTACAGATCTTTGATATCTTTGTTAATTTTATGCTCAACTTTTTAATCTCAGGAAGATTTAGGGTTTGACATATTGTAACTAAATATAGATTTTTTACTGTTAAAATATATTAAATTTAGTATGTGGATATTTATGATTTTAGTACATCCTTATTTCATACATAGATCCCTTTAACTATGTCTATGCTTATTCTGTCAATAAAAGGGGTTCAAAAGGAAGTCTTTCTAATACATCCTATATGTAAAGGAAAAACGGAAAATGAAGATTCCTAATTTACTATGTATAATAATAATAATAATGGACATTTTGCCAGGTCAGAAAATAATAATGGACATTTTGTCATGTCAGAAAATAGTAATGAACATTTTGCCCAGTCAGAAAATAATAATGGACATTTTGTCAGGCCAGAAATTATAAATGGACATTTTGCCAGGCCAGGAATATCAATATCTAAATGTGAACTACAGTTTTGATTATCATAAAGATATGGATTTTAAGATTTAATGTGAAAAGCTACATGTATCTATTGTAAATTACATATCTATTCCAGGTATACATAGTTTTAAAAAAATAATGCAGGTCTTTCAACTTCATATGTTTTGAAAAAATTACAGAATCCCAAGCATTTGGATGTCATAACAAGCCATGAATTATGATTTACAGAACAAAGAAATTACTTCAAATTAATTAAAATATTCAGTATCTAAGCACTTACCATTTACAGTAATATCACCTGTGATATGGTATCAATCGATCTTAAGTAGGCCAACATTTTGTGATTGGCAAATTAGTTAGTTTCCTATCAAAATTTAACATCATAGTTATATACTTTATATATAAAAGCAGGTTCAAGCTAGGTAAATAGGACAATTAAAAAGATGTGTATCTATCAGGTGTTGATCAAACATTTGTAACACCTAACTATTTGTATTCTTTCAAGGACCATGAATTTATGAATACAGATATTGTACATGCTTCTTGGTAGTGATTTAAATTTTGTATTTTTATTTCAGAATAGTTGAATAAAAGATTAAAATTCAAGACTCTTATGTTATTTTTTTGGAAACTCAAGGTTCAAATGACAAGCAAATGGTTTTAATGCAAAACTTTAATTTCATTCATTTTAATATTTAAGTGCAAATATACATAATTGTATACCACATTTTCAACAAAACCCTGTAACGTATGACCAACATGTAATTTTATCAAAATGTTAAAATCAAATTCATACACAATCTTTCACTAAAATAAGCATCTTTCCATTATATTGTAAATGATAGGCATTTCTATCAAACTTATCTTGTTCACAATCATGTCTAAAACAAAAATTTTCAAATTGCACTCTTTACCAGTATACATATAAGTTTTTCTATAAAATCCTAATAACTGTATTTCGGGGAGAAAAAAGAAGTCAAGAACTGTTTATGCTTTAATTAAAGTCAGTCTGATTGGAATAAGTAACTCATTGATACCTTGATAAAGTGGAAAAGTGGATCTGGAATACAAGCATAAAAACCGGGGTTCCATCAATTGCCAAATCTTGGAAAGTGCTTGTCCCAAGTCATGAATGTAACAGTCAACAAGGGGGATGGGGGTTGAAAATCAAATAGACATAAAAATGCTTAAACAAAACAAAAAAGCCCAGCAATGTAGTGATTACAGTATTGTTATGTAAAGTAAACTGCATTTTATTTCTGGCTGGAAAATAGGAAATGGGGTTATTGGGTAAAAACAATCTGCCCTCTCTAAGAGTGTGTGAAAATGATGCTTATATCCCCAATCCATTATTCTTCCACATGTGTATGTTTGACCTAACACTTGATCTTAAATTGAAGTATTATGATGTGGAAAATGTAATAATGGCAAACTACATTTGCACTAAATAAATTACACTTGCACTAAATAAACAAGCAATGTAAATTGTTTATTTCAGAATATTCCATTATTAGCACAACTGCTATTTCTTTACTAAGCTATAGTCCTACAATCTTGATAATTATTCTATTGTCTCTATCTTTTACCCATTATCCTAAAATCATTTGCAGATTTTAAGGAAGCACCATTAAATGCAATACTCTTATGAACTGAATATATATTGTAGACAAATACATTATTGGAAAGTTGATTCCTGACATATAGATAATAAAATGCTCTGCAGGACACAGAGGTCGAATCCTGAACAGTTAGGGCAAGTATGGAAACTACATTCAAGCTTGATACAGCTCTGAATTTGGATTGTAAAGGTTTCTGACTGATTGTGGTAAAAGAACTCAAAAATTTTAAATTGGACTTTTACCTACAACAATGTATTATGGTCCAATATCAAAAATCTAAATACCTAAAAGATAAGACATAACTTATAAGCTAAAACATTGTAAGGGAGGTAACTCTTAATGTAAAAAAAACCAAGCAAATGAAATTGATCAAACATAGACAATTCAGTATAGCAAAAACCCCTACCATTCAACTTTTGTTGAAATCAAACAAAGTGTCATTTTGGACCCTTTGGACCCTGATGTGGACCAAATTGAAAAATGGGCCCAAAATCCAAAATCTAAATACATTATTAGATTCAGAATATTGAAATCAATCAAAGTTTAATTTTGCACCCTTATTTGGACCCACTTGAAAACACGGATGAAAATCAAAATTCTAAATACACAGTAAGATTAATCATATCAAAGAACTCCAATACTTCAAGATTATTCAAACCCCAATGAAATTGGTCAGAAATAAGCAATTCAAACAAAGTTAAAAAATTGATTGTTTTTTACCCCTTTTTGTTCCCTTATTCCTAAGCGGATACAGCCATAACACCCAAATTCATTCCAACCTTCCTTTTGTAGTATGGAACCTTGTGGATCAATTTCATACAAATCCATACAGTTATACTCAAGTTATTGTCCAGAAACCAGAAAAAAATGTTTGCTTTTGGCCCCTTTTTGGGACAAAATTCTTACACCGTTAGGCCATAACCCCAAGAATCAATCCCAACCTTCCTTTGCAAATTGTAAATTTTTGCAGTCGTTTAATAAAACAAAGCAATGGGAAAACATATGACACCAGTACAATCAAAAAATTGACTGCTCTTATGATAAAGGGGACAACACCAATAGTTTGTTTACTTTGGTAGCCATACTGATTAAAAGTTATTTCTAAACCACAACAGTACATTTTTAAGAAATAATCTGTTAAACTATGTTATGTAAATATTTGAAATATAATATAATATGCAAATACATTATGTAGTTTTTTTTCATTATTTATCAAGATAATTGCAATAGAAGCTGTTACAATGAAATTTTAAAAAAAGTTAATCTTTGCTGCATAATGATAAAAAGAAATTGGTATGTATACAAAAGTAGTCATTAGCATATAAACATATATATATATATACCTTTTTTTCACAAGTAACTTTTTTATCATGCTGGTCTGCTCATTGGCACAAGAATATCAATAAAAAAATAAATGGAAAATGTGTCCCCATGGACACAGATAATGCCCCCGCTTGCATACAACATTATAAAGGGACATAACTCAAAAACAAAAAAAGTGACGCTACCCAAATTTGTACTAGATCTGAGTTTTGTGGTAATAAGTATTGTGTAAAGGTTTCATAATGTTTGGTTGGGGCAAACTTAAGTTACAGAACGGAAACTAAAAATTTTGCAATTTTTTCATTTATAAAGGGGTATAACTCTAGAACGGTTAGAGTGATGCTACCAAAATTCAATCTTGATCTGTATTATGTGGTAATAAGCATTGTGTATAAGTTTCATAACATTTGGTGGAGGCAAACTTTAGTTAGAGAACGGAAACTAAAAATTTTGGAATTTTTCCATTAATAAAGGGGCATAACTCTAGAACGGTTAAAGTGACACCACCAAAATTCAAACTTGATCTGTATTTTGTGGTAATAAGCATTGTGTATAAGTTTCATAACATTTGGTTAGACAAACTCAGGTTAGAGAACTGAAACCAATTTTGGGACGTACGTACGTACAGACGGACAAGGGTAAAACTTAATGCCCCCTCTGCTACGACGGGGGCATAAAAATTGTCTTTGCATGAGAATAAGATTTTAAAGTTATGCTTGTTCATGTTAAAAATTTAAATATATTTAAATATGTTTGTAGTCAGATACGTCATAAATTATCATTTGGACTACGTATACTGCTTCAACAGAAAAACCTACAAAAAGTATTTCAGTTTATAAATAGTAGAAGGGTCAATTCAAGTTAATATCATGGCTCTGAAAACCTATAGTATAAAGTATTTTCAAAATTTTAACAGAATCTGGAGGAAAATATGTCTTCTTTTCCATGCTTGTATAAGATTGATTTTTGGTGTTTTAAAGCCACTTTTGGGCCATTTTGTGGCGGCCAGTTTTTATTGGTGGAGGAAGCCGGAGTGCCCGTAGAAAACCACCGACCTTCGATAGGAAAACTGACAATCCTAGTCAATTAAGATTGGAGTCAAGTGCACCTGCACTAGCGGGGTTCGAACTCACAACCTCAGTGTTGACTGGCTAGTGATTACAGTAGTAACTACTAAGACCACTCGGCCACCGAGGCCCCTGCTTGTATAAGATGTTGCATACAGTTTTTAAAAAAAACAGGGTACATGTATTTATTTACTCAGAGGGCACTGAATGGGGACAATTTAAGAGCACCCTTAATAGAGATATACATCTAAA